CCCCCCCTCTGGGTGATGAATGGAGGCTAAGATGCCTGTGTGTGTGGTGTGCGTGTGTGTGGTGTGTGTGTGTGTGTGTGTGTGTGTGTGTGTGTGTGTGTGTGTGTGTGTGTGTGTGTGTGTGTATGTGCACATCCCTGTCCACTGCTCGGTGAAAAGGTGAGTCGTGAATAAAGCTCTTGTACGCGCTGTGTGTGTGTGTGTGTGTGTGTGTGTGTGTGTGTGTGTGTGTGTGTGTGTGTGTGTGTGTGTGTGACACAGAGAGAAAAAACACCCAATTCCCCAAATATTAAATTCCCCTCTGGTGGGACAGAAGCAGATATAATTCATTGTTTTGGGCCGCTGTCGTCTCTGAAATACTGGCACAATGACCCCAGTGCAGGGGTAACTACTGTATGTGTGTATGCGTTGTAAGTGCCGGGAGCGGGCATGTGCAACCTTTTCCCAGAAGGCCTCGCTAACGGGCCGGTGCGGCGCAGGTGCCCTAGCCGTTAGACGCAGGGAGTGCCGCATTACTAAGAATATTCCTGCATGGAATTTCTCCTGACGTTTTGACTATAAAAGGACAGCAAAACGCTGACTGCAAGGAGAAAGCAATGTCAAGGAGAAAAGGGTATTGGTATTTCAGATCCTCTTGACTGAGAGAGCGAGAGAGTGAGAATGGGAGGGAGGGAGAGAGCGATGGCGAGAGAAGGAGGGGCTGAGAAGAGTCTAAGGAGAGAGAGTGCAGCGACAGAACAGAGAGAGTTATTCCTGTCCCACAAGCCTTTGTTTTGTGAGTGTGTATGTGAGCAAGCTGCCTCCTGACCAGCAGCGAGCCCTAACTGTTTGCAACCCCTCCCTTGTTCCGCTCTCCCCCCCTCCTCTCTCTCTCTCTCTCTCTCTCTCTCTCTCTCTCTCTCTCTCTCTCTCTCTCTCTCTAGGGTCAGCTGTTGGGCCTTTGTTCCAGAGGCATTGTGGGGGATTATCCAGTGTGGTCGTTCATTTGCTTGGCTGTCCGGTAAATGGGGCCAATCGCGTGGCTCACAATCGTTCATACATATTTCATAGGGCTTTTTAACAACTTCTCAGCAGAGCCCAAATTTAAAGGACAGACGTACAAAGAGGGGAGGAGAGAGGGAGGGAGAGTTGTGTGTGTGGATGATGCCTGGAAAAGGCAAATAAGGTGTATAAGAGTTCATATACACACTGCCGGCGACATTTAAATATGCTCCTTTTATTTTGACTTGAATTGTCACGCCACCTTTTTTCGCACATGAAAACAGAGATTTTGAAATCTTAACATGTGTTGGGTTTTTGTGCCAAAAAAAAAGCACTTCTATAATAATGATGCAAGTCTGCAGTCATGGTCAGCGACTGTCTGTCACATCTCACTTATTAAAAACAATCACCTGGTCCATATGTTATCATCAATCTGTTTATTTTTGGTTGATGCCTTCACAGTCACGACTTAACGTTTGGATCAGAGACCCTGTGCAGTAGCGTAGGAAACACTGTGTGCCTTGTCATTGTCAACCGGGAGGGTTATTAGTCTGCGATCAAAAGAATTCTGAGCTTTCTCAGGTTACAGAAAGGAAAACATAGGAACATTAGAATAAGTTTGCATGTAATCTAATATATCATAAGAGCTGATGTAAAGCAGAACGATAGAAACGAGCTTTAGAAGATGTCGGCTGTATTAAACAGTGTTATAGTTTGCCTGACAAAAGAGGAGGGAGAAGAACATATTCAAAGTTTTTCCTAATGTTTAGACTTTTTGGCGAAGAGTGTAGTTTTCACACAGCCATTTTTTAATTTAGCCAAACAAGTGTGGAGACTTGACTAGCATGATTGAGGTGTGAGGAAGGCAGAGGATAGAAGTGTGTGTGTTTGGCGGGGGGTCCAGAAAAAACAAAAGCTATCATGAAAAGGGATATTATTGTGGCTCTAACCCTGTGTAACACAATATGAAAGGAGGAAGGGCGGAAGGGGGAAACAGGGATAAAGAATCAGCAACACTACACACGTTTCCCTAACCTTTGCATCATGCTGTGTGTTGGGTAGTACCAATCAGGGAGAAGGGAAGAAAGAGAGGAATAAAGAAAAAAAAAAAGAGGGACTTCTCGGACAAGGGGCAGCGATGAGGCAGTTAATCACTTTGATTCACTGGCTCCCCCGCTCTCCCCCATTCTCTTCACCTCTCTCCATCTCCCCCTCTCGTGACAGGTTGCTTTGAGACAGAAGGATAAGCTCTTTTTCAGAGAGAGGGAATCGGATTTCCTGCTTTTTGATGAGATAATAAAATATGACGGAGGACAATAGGAGCCTGTGGACGGCTTGCTGAGAGCCATTCACTCGGGCAGCGGCCCCTGTCTTAAGACTGCTTAGACCAACGTTTAAAAAAGGTAGCCAGGGGCCCAAGCCCTCAGATAATGGCTACTGTTACCGTGTGTGTGTGTGTGTGTGTGTGTGTGTGTGTGTGTGTGTGTGTGTGTGTGTGTGTGTGTGTGTGTGTGTGTCTTTGCATGTGTTTTGCTAAAGCCTGAGAAATCTCCTCTCTCTCGGTGACTCAGGGTTGAGCTGTTTGTTTGGTCAACGTGTTTCTCCCCTTTGCTTTTGGGAACTGTCAGGAGATGTATTGCACCTTCTATTTGCACAGCGTTGGCCAAACAAGACAAGACCCTGGAAGATAAGGCTGTGTGTGCAAGTGAGTGTGTGCGCTTGTGAGCAGTAGCCTTGAAGGATGAAATGCAGGGACACAACATGAGCCCCTGCTGCCAACCAGGTTAATTCCTAACCCCAACTCAGCCTGGGAATACCAACACTTCCCATGCTTTCTCTCACTGTGCGTCTGTGTGTGTGAGAGATGGAATTTATAGATTTTGTAATGCACTGAACGCCATACGTACTGTAGATGAATCTGGAATTGATGTTGAATGGGTTTCTTTACATTAAATGTAATCTTAAGAACAAACTCACTTCTGCTGACCTGTTTTAAAACAAGAGTTCAGATTCAAGTTGAGCGGTGAGTCAAGCCAGAGCTTCCCGAACCTCGAACACACACACAAACACACACACATACACAAACACGGGCCCCTGTGCCTCACGTATCTGTTCTGATCAATAATCTACAAAGGCCTCGATAAGCCCTTGGCCCACACTGTCACTTTAGGCAAACACAACCCATGTCCCCATGTCTTCCTACTCCCCACTGGCCCCGACCCCCTCTCCCGCTGATAAGACCATGGCTGAAGAGTCCAACCGACTAGTGAGAGAAACAACGGGCAGTCGCAGTGGATCCTTTGTTTAATCGTTTCCTTCTCCAAGTGCTTCATTTTCTCAACCTTACAATTTGTATCTAAAATCCTCTCAAATCCTCAAATGTGCGTTTTTCTCCTTGCTTAGATAACCATTGAGACGGGAAACGGGCCTCAAAGCTGAGCAAACACCAGCCACCCTCACTCCACTGATAGCCTTGAGAACATGGAGCCTTGAGGGGCTGTTGTGTATACGTGTGTGTGTGTGTGTGTGTGTGTGTGTGTGTGTGTGTGTGTGTGTGTGTGTGTGTGTGTGTGTGAACCCAACATCCCGATGTGTGTATGAATGTGAGCATGAGCACTAGCGTCACATGGGCTCTTCTCAAGGTGCACCTCCGCCGGGGAGTCAAGGACAGGACAGGGTCAAAGACATTGATGAAGTCACTCCCCTATCACATCTTCCTCGCTCCTCCCTTCATCTCAAACCCCCACCCTCACCCGTACACACACACACACACACACACACACACACACACACACAC